AGCTATGTCAGGAACCGTCAGCAAATTGGCATCACACTCAGCAACAGCAGTTCTTGTAATTTTGGCAGGCTTTTCCGATATGTCCTCTTGGGCTTTTCTTTTACATGCATTGGTTACCATCTTTACTTCAAGCTTTTTTGGATCGGCTTCATGATTATGTACCAAATCACTTCTTGTGATGGTGAGGTCCTCACAGCCTATTGTAAACACTTTTGCGGAACACTTAGTGTTTCTTTGGATGCAGCGCCAAAATATCTCGCCGCTTTTTAATACTTTCTGTTTCGAGAACGAATGATGCTCCACCACTAATAAATCTCGACCACGGGAACTTTTTATCAAACTCATTTTTAAATATCCGTATACGTGCACAAGTCAACGTCAAACAAGAAATAAATTACAACTGAAATAATTTAGTCACAAGTACACAAGTGCCACGCCCCCGCCGTGACAATAAATATTGGGAAAACCCGCTTGTCCTGCTTGGGTGCAAATGTCCATCGCCGCTAATTACCTACCTACCTGCTTTATGCCGCGGTGTCGAAATTTCCTATAATAAAATTTGACCATTCGATTACCCCAGGTACAAAGACAATTTGGTGTCGAAAGTTCGCCCGCCGTTAATTGGAACCAAATTTGCAGTGGGACATAAATACCAATTTAAGAGTAAGATTCAACGTAAGACTAGTACTTTCCACTATTATTACAGCGGAAGATGTTTTAAACAAATATAGTAGAACTTTGCACAAGCGGGTTAAGTTTCACACCCATTTTTACAAAAAAATGATAAATAACAGACAAACATTGTTCGAGATAGGCAGTTGGCGTTTGCCTTTAGACATTTAGAGTTTTGAAATTGCTGGAGGAGCAAGATTTTCGACGACAAGTATATAATTGACTTACCAGTCCCATTTGCTATGTGGCGATTCTTCTGTTTTATCGTAATCCTTGGTCCAAGGGCACCTCGATGGTCTATTAGGAAGTACGGCTTCCTTTTCCAAATTCGACTTAAATTGAAAGCCTTCGTCTTGTTCTTTGATAATTTTATGCATTTTAAATTGCAGAAATATTAACTAATGAATATTTATTAACGTCAAAAAAACCTTACTGCTTGGAGCGTTATAGAAAGTCTAAGAAAGTACTGGGTTGTCACTCATAATTAGTCTTATTTATACATAAAAAAGAGTCAATCAAATTAGAAGTGAATTCCATAAAAATGTTTAATTACCACTAGATAAATGACGAGCGATAATTTTTTTAAAGATTATTATTGTCATAATTTGAAGGCTGTAATTTAGATAACAAAGGTGTAAGAGTACGGGAAATTTTTGTAATCTATTTATTGGAAACTAATCACAATCTTAACACAAAAGATATGAAATTTTGACGTTTAGGCCTTCAGATCATCATTTTCATCATCGTCATTTTCGAAATAATTGCTCAGAGTATATACAATTAGTAAACAGAGTAGTATAGGTATATATAGTATATACAATTTTTTAATCGTGGTTGATTTTCAGTTGATAATATACAAGGTGATACAAGAAAGCAGCTTTAGAATAATATACAATGAACCTCAGATTCCATTTTCATACGACCAACATTGTAACGTTCAAACTGAAAATCGAATTTAATCGAATAAAATAAAATAAGTTCGAATCGTTTGTCTTCATCAGGTTCGTAATGAATTATATGGAACACCGTTCATAAATTAAATTTCCCGGCAAAAACTTTTAGCTCTTGTGTCACGTACAAAGCATGTTATTGGCAGAACACGCGTAGTATTCGTCAGTCATTGCTAGTTGTAGCAATATAATTGGTACAGCGCATCTCCAATCCCCTAAAGACGAGAGTCTCCAAGCTTCTTAGCGGTAAATCCCAAAAATTCTTCTACTACTTTTTGTGGATGTGAAAGCAAGAGTCGCTCGAGAAGTCATAAATACTTATTAGTTTTTCAGGATTATTTAACATTCAGTCTTCTACAGTTTTGTGGTAAACATTTTTTTATGGAACAAAAACCGCTCGGTCCAAGAGTTGCATTTTATGTAAAGTATGTGAATGTATTGTTAATAAAAGTACATTAAAATTTTTGGCTTTATCAATTATGTCTATTGAAATGTGACTATCCATGATAATTAGTATCAGTTTTTCCTGGTAGGTTTAGTGTAAGATATTATGTGTTCCAAAAATTACAGAAAAATCTTTGCTGTCGACCATCTCCATCCTAAGAATTTGCTGCCCCAATGCATCTGGGTGACCGGGATCCATTTTTCATGTGGTTTTTATAGTACACACGATGAAATACAAATAGTGGTGGAATAGTTTGAACTTCTGAATTTATGCAAGCTATCATTGTAAAATTAATTCCTCTTTCTGCGGAGGTTAAACTTTTAAGTTTTTTAATGGTCTTAAGCGGTAATACGTGTTCATATCATTAGTGTAATTATTAAAAAAAAAAAATGCTCAACAGTGTTTTTATCAAAACTAGTGGCCCTAGCTAAACTTGTTGCTTCTGGTTTCCTTAGAGATAATGCCGGTCATCTCCTACTGAATTAGCCATTCTAGGCCTACAATTTGTTTGTCTTACCACCAGACTGATATTTTTTTACCCAAGACTGTGGCATAATTAAATGCCACTTGCGATGAAGTTCCAAACAAATATCGAATAAATATACCAAGTGCACGTACTTGATATATGCAACAAATTATACCATCATCATCAGTGGTGCTACAGCTCTAGTTGAGCCTTGACCTTCCCCAGTCTATTTCGCCAGTCGTTTCTGTTCATCGCCAACCGTTGCCAATTTGCCGCGCCGATTTTCCTTGCGTCCTCGTCCACACCGTCCCTCCATCTCAGTCGTGGTCTGCCTCTACTCCTATTTCCCACTAGGACCGATAATAGAGTTCGTCTGGATGGGTAATTTTCATTTGCTCTTGACACATGTCCAGCCCATCTAAGCCTGCCTATTTTTATGAAGGATATTACATCTCTACCATTTACTATTTTTTTATATTTCTCGTACAATTCAAAATTATATCGCCTTCTCCAAATACCATTCTCACAGAATGCGCCCATTATTCTTCTTAGTATCTTCCTTTCGAAGACGAGCAGAAGATTTGCGTCTGTTTTGGAGATGGTCCATGTTTCTGACCCATATGTCAGCACTGGTAGGATGAGTGTTCGATATATTATTAGTTTGGTTTTCTGGCTTAAGTTTCTGTTTTTTAGCTGCTTGCTTAGTCCAAAATAACATTTGTTTGCTAGCAGTACCCTCCGTTTAACTTCTTCAGATGTGTCATTATCGTTTGTTATGAGAGAACCCAAATATGTAAACTTATTTACTACCTCAAAATTATATTGGTCTATACTGAAGTTTTGTTCGGCGTTTCTAGCTCTATCTCTGTTATTTGGAATAGATGCTAGCATTTTGGTTTTTTCCTCGTTTATTTTAAGGCCCATATTTTGTGCGGCTGTCAAGAAGGTGGAAGTCATCTCTTTAAGTCCTCGTGTAGTACGTGCAATCAAATCCAAATCGTCAGCGTACGCCATAATCTGCGTTGATTTATTAAAGATTGTTCCCCTAATAAAGATTGTATAGTCTTTTCTAACGCTATATTAAAGAGAAGGCACGCCAGCGCGTTTCCCTGCCGTAACCCTGCATATGTTTCAAACGCTTGTGACATATCGCCTTGTATTTGCACTCTGCAGATCACTTTACTCATAGTTGTTTTTACGAGCCTTATTAATTTATGGGGAATGTTAAGTTCATTCATGGCTTCGTATAATTTACCTCTTAGGACGCTATCATACGCTGACTTAAAGTCCACAAAGAGATGGAACGTGTCAATATTAAATTCATTGGTTTTTTCTAAGATTTGACGTAGCACAAAAAGCTGGTCAATTGTTGACCTACCTGGCCTAAAACCGCTTTGATACTCACCAAGGATTTCTTCCACGTACGTACTTAAACGGCTGTACAGGGTGTTGAAGAATATTTTGTACATTGTATTCAGAAGAGGCAACAAATTATATATATATATATATATATATATATATATATATATATATATATATATATATATGGTGTATTGTTCCTTAACCCATGAAAATATAGCACTAGGGCTATCGCAAATTACGCCTTCAGCGGCCGACTTCAACTATCAAAGTTGGTGATGCACATTTGCGTCTTTTTTCGTCAAAAGACCGATACGGAGTCAGGTACTCTTCGTCTTTACATTGTTCACATACACATGTTCGTCGTTTGACATACACCATTAAACCTCCTCCACTAGGCACGAAAACAAACTCGGTTTTCTCATCCATGGAATGCCTACCCAAAACATATAAGAACAGCTTCCATATGACACAATTTCCCCTATAAAACATTAAGCAAATCGCTCTCCTGACCTTCTATAGACTCGATGCCTCTTGTCGTTGCTATGTAGGGAGATCCTACTTTCGGCGGAGAATAATACCTGACTCCATTGATAGTCGTCCCAATCCAGATGTTCGCGAGTAAATTCTAATCGCCTTTGCTTCTGGGCTGCAGTCAACTTGGGACCCGTAGCTGAGCTTTGTGGTCCCAGGTTAGCTGCTTTCAGTCTCCTGACTTTCTGGATGCTGGTAATCAAACCCGGATCTCTCTAAGCTCTTCTTTGAGATTAGCACCAGTTAAATGTCGATTTCTCAGGGATTTCAATACAAGAAATCGATCATTTCTCTCCGTTGTTATTAGTTTACGTTCCCCTTCTTGTCGGCGGACATAATCACCAGTATCTTGGTATCGATGATACAATCAGGACACAACATAACAGATTGGTTTAAATTTAGTCGATTTTCCACGGCCCTCTGGCTCAGGCATTCTCTCAAATTTGCTGTTTTATCAGAAATTTTGTAACTTTTAATATCGGATGGTTATTTTTGTCTTCTTTTCTGTATCTTATTTTCTAAAGAAAAGAAAAGAATAGAGTAACTTCATAATAATAATACATATACAAAAATATAATTCAAAGCATTTTATTAAAATTTATAATATAAACAATACTTGAAGAAACAATAGTAAGTAAACTAGTAAAACAAAATTTTAAAAACAGAATTCTGTTAGTTGAGATATATAGAAAAATGTGATCATCCGTTACATCGCAAGGTTATATCGAATTAATGCTTTTTATGGGTTTGAATGTAATGAAGAATGTCATCTGATGTTACTACTCCTAGTGCTACATCATTTCCGCCTGTAAAGAAAAAAATATCAATAGTTTAAGACATTTAAAAGAATGATACAATTTTAATTGTTTATGATAGACAAGCAAAATATCATTAAAAATAATATTAATTGATTTTTTGATGAAATAAAAGATGTGGTTTTGATAAAAATGAGAGTTTAACAGTGAATAACCCACAAATTCGACGTTTTGAGTTTTTGAAAATCACTTGGTTGAGTTGTAATTTGTGAATAATGATCCAGTATTGTCGGTTCAATTTAGCGATTCTCTGAACATACCAAACATATGATCTCTGGTATTTTCTAGATATCTATTCATTCTTCAGCATCTTCTAAACTGTCAGACCAGCAGTTTTAGGTCACTATATATTTTTTATTATTCTGTTTTGTGCCAATTTATCGATATGTTTATTTCTTATTTCATTCTATTTTTATTTTTTGTACCCATGTGTACACTGGATTTATTTTGCATTGGCTTCTAATGATTTTACTTCTTTCTCTGTCGTATCAAATTTTGCCGGTGATTTTTAATAGTATTTTCGTGTTTCAATTATTTGTTTTGTTCTGCTTGTCAGACCTTTTGTCTGCAGTATACCTCATAATGATGCGTATTGTCTTGTATAATTTACTTTTCATATCTATATCACGATCTATATTACTCCATATTATGTGGTAAAGGAAGCCTGCTACTTTATTAGTTTTTGTATTGGTTTCAGTCAAATTCCAGTTTAGATCGCATCGATTCTTTAGAAGTGGTCATCATCTGTTTTGAACTCTCAGCTGCTATTACCAACAGATTTTCCCGTTTATGTTAAAATAACAAAAGGGCTTTTGAAAATTGCTTTTATTGTCTGGTCCCAGAACAGCATTGTCTGAATAACACAGTATTTTCGCGCGTATTTTCATTATTACCTCATCTATAATGATATAAAATGGTAATGGAATTACTGAATCACTTTGTCTGATGCTACAGTATACTTTTATAAGTTTTATGAATTCCTTGTTGCCACGCGCTTTACTTTTATTTTTACTATCTTCTTCTTCCCATAGTGTTGATTCCACTAATGACGGTTGGCTATAAACATTGCAAATTCGTTTTTCAGCCAGGATATTTTTCGTCAGGACCCCTTTTTCCTTCGATTTTACCCTTCATAACCAGCTGCAACAACTCGTACTTCCCATTTCTAAGTATGTGCTCAAAATATGCTATCTTTCTCCTTTAAATTGTGGTCAAAAGTTCTCTGACTCTTCGCATTTTAAGTATCACCATTTCGTTCGAAATATGATCGATTCATGGTATTTTCAAAATTCTTCTAAAAAGCCCCATCTTTAAAGTTTCCAGCTTTCTCATTAAGTCAACATTAACAGTCCAAGCTTCGGCAATATAAAGAAGAATATAGTTGATAAAACATTTTACCATCTGTCGATATTCTTGTTCATTCTTCAAATATCTGTTTTCATTCATCAGATATCTCTTTTAAATGCAATTGTAATATTGCACTATCCTATCCTTTTTACTTACTGCCACTTTATTACCATTTTGCACTTATTACCTATCTTTACCCGTTTATCTAGCAAGTCTTTTATGTATTGTAGTGTTACATTTCTTAATTGCGATTTGTGACTCAAGAATTATTCCATATGTCTAATTACTTCAATCAGTGAAGTTAAATCCAGCATATATTCTTATAATTTAAATAATTCAATACTTACTGTCACTATCCAGGATCACAACATAATTTTCAACTTCTAAGACTCTTGATGCAAGTCCAAGTGAACTGGCTTTGGGTAGTTTAGAAAACATCCGTACCAAGCAGTTATTGATTTCATCATTTGGTGACTCTTCCGCTATGAGTCGATTCAGAGTATTTTTTCTTGTAGCCAATCCAACAATCAATCTAAAATATAATATATAATAAATAAAGGTATAAATAAAAATAAGTAAAAATATTTATGTTATAATATCGTGAAAATGTGACTTGGCAACATTGTCGAACATTTATTCAACCCATACCACTGGTATAATGACGGATACTGGTGTAATGACGGTTGTTTAAGCTCCGAATATAATCTTAAAAGAAGGAATGAACCAAATGGGACAAGCTGTTTTTGGAAACATGGACACTTCGTTACAATGGTAGGAATTGTTAGCGCATTGGGCAATACCGTACCACTAGTTTTTATTTTCCCTCAGCAAGGTTCCATGATATTTTTATGGTTGGTTGTCCATCTGGTAGTTTAGGCTTGGTAAATAGTCCAACTAGTGGAAGAATCAATGCATCACTTTTTCTAAAAACGTTGGATCATTTGGAGAATAACACTAAATGCTGTACAAGTACTGGGGTGCTCCGCTATCCCCACTGTACAACTAGCGGGAGGTTATATCCCCTATTGTAAAAATCTGGAACAAGAGGGTGAGAAAATTTTCACCACTGTACAACGCTGTCACCACTGTAACATCCTCGATATGAACCTTAAGGATGCTTATACCTGCGAGCGGCTGCAATGCTTCCTGGTCCCACTAGTCTGAACTGGCTGGTTTGCCTTCGTGGATTTACGAGAAGGTAAAGAACTTCGGGATAGGGGTTAAGGACTTCTAGGTCTCAGGACCTGTACAAGGTTGAGTCTATGGGCTTACTTTAGAAGCTTATATGCATAAGCAGAAATTTTGTACTCTTCTGGTCTCTGTCTGAATCGGCCGGAAGGAACATAAAAACCAAATTTAGAGTCTACAAATGTATTGAATATACTATGTGGTTTACAATTAAGTTAACAAGCTGTCAGATATAATCAATAATAACTCGTTCGGCGCGAAGAGGGACGAGAAGAGATCTTAGCAAGAAAGTAAAGGGTGACAATCTGTACTACTATAATTTACTCGGGTTAGTATATAGAATTTTGTTACCTTCCGCGTATTTAGGCTCTAGCTAATGATACGCCCTTCAGTTTCCTCTGGAAATCGGATTTCTTTCAGTACCCGGCCCTTATACGGAACTATATCCCGTCGAAATATAACAATCGCGCGTAATCCGCACCTGGTGTCGCCTCTCGTCTTGACAGCCCTGCCCGAAGATACTGACTGACTGGACGCTACCGCCGGAAATTACTGCCTGAGCGGGCAGTCACGGTCCCAGCTATTACTGATCGCTTACTGGACGCTATCGCGTCCGAACGCTCACGAAGCTGGCAATTAATGTCTTGAGCGCTCGATACTACTACTGGTTGACCAATTTTTTTAGTTTTTATGTCCCGCGAACATTCCTAGTTTATTTTGCTGATTCTGCTGTACTGTTCCACGTATTGTATACGTATGTATATACGTTCCACGTACTTTGTATAATTTAAAATGTATACGTTACTGTATTGAATTTATTCTTTATTTAATTTGGAATATATAATAATTATTTTGAATAATTATTATCTTCTCTATGCTACTTAGCCCTTATTTATTCTATTCTTTATTTTCTTGCTATGTTTACATTACAATGCACTGGGACTGACCCAATCTAGATAATCACGATAGCCATTGCTCTCTGGAAGCTATTATTTATGCAAAAGCCAATGGTATTATAATTTCCTCTGCATTGCACACATAGATTACAACCATTAGATGTATCTGTTATGTGGCCATTTAAGGCAAAATATAAGGTTGCTTAAAATGTTTGGATGCTCTCACATCCCGGTAAGTCCATTACCATTTATAATGTTGTTGAACTTGCAAGCCAGGCTTTTGAGAATTCTTTTCCAATCAAATATAGTATCAATATAGTACCACGCTTAAAAAACTGGAATATATCGATTTAATAAAAATGCGTTCTCGGATGAAGACTTTGATGCAGCAAACGTTACAGACAGGCCTATTGTAGAACAAACCATAGAAGCCTCAAACACAAATATTGAACCGCAACCATGAACTAGTTCTTGTACTTTTAGAACTCTTCATCCCACAACTGTTATTGAAGTTACCGCCTCTCCATAATTTTCTGTTGAGATTGTTCGACCATATTTTAAAGGCACGGAAAAAAGCGAGGCTGGTCTAAAATTCTTAGTGAAACGCCAGAAAAAGAGGCTTTAAAGCAGAAGAAAATAGACAAGGAAAGAAAATTAAGGTTACAAAGAAGGTCTTACAAGAAATTGAAACATTCAGCGAAAGTCATTCATTTTCAGTTCATGATTCCTATTCCGATAATTTATCTGATGATGAACGTGTTTTTGATGATCTGTGTTTAAAAGAGCTGTATAGATGACTACTTTATTGTTAAATTTTGTACAAAAAAGACTGTGTACACTGTACTACACTGTATACTGTACACATAGTGAATTACACGTGGCATTTATAAGAAAGAAAGGATCAACATTCTATTTTCCTGAAATCAAGGATATATCCATAAGACAATGTAGTTCAGAAACTTCCATTTCCCTCCAATATTAAGGGCACCGAAAGAACCCAATCTTTAATTTCATTTAGGTTTGAGCAAAGTCAATTTAATTTTCGATAAATTAATGTCATTATTTTTTTATTTTAATAAAGTTTAGTTGGTTTATGTAATGTGTGCTAATATTGTTCAAAAGTACTTTATGGGAGGTACCTTTCAACATTGGTTTAAATAAAAAATAAAAAATTCCCAAAAAATTATGTTATAACATATAGTTTAAAAAAAACATCCAAATACTGTACAAAATAAATACCAGTGGGGTACAGAAAAATATTGTTTATGTTTTCTTTAGAAGCATGGAGAACTCCTGTAGGAAAAAATGTTAAAAGGTGTCTCCCCTACTTAAAAAAAAAACTCGTTATAGAACTAATCTCTGTAAAATAGGGTTTCTAAAAATCGATAATATAGTAACTAATGGAAATTAAACTGGTTAAAGCTTGGTGCTCATAGCGAACAGTAGTAAAAATGAAAGAAATGTAATGAAAAATAAGGATGTAACTATGAAAATGGGGGATGTCAAAGTGGAAAAAGGCAGATAGGGAAACATCATCCAGGAGTTTGGACTTTAACAACGCAATGTAAGGGGATATTGTTTGATGAAATTTTGCTAAGAGAACAAGCTCTATGTGACAAATACATTATTCAAAGTACAAAAAGGCCGTTTATATACTGGGAAAGCACCAGCAGATACTAAAAATAATAGGTGTCATACAGAACCAGATGTATTATGTAACGATTAATGAAAAATACCGAAACTAACCAAGGTAACTAAAACACTAGCTTGAAGTAGATGTCTCTTCAGATCACAACTTGTTGATCAGTGTTATAAAACTAACACTTAAAAAAATAGAACGTCAACAAATGACACATAGAATAAACATTCCTTTCTTTAGCATTCCAAATACCAAGCATCGATTTCTAGTAGATGTATCAGTAATAAAATAATTACTGGTGGGCGAATTTTCACAGAAAAGTTGCCAAGAGATATACAACTATGACAATTATTATAAATATGGATAATGAATTGTACTTATGTTACATACCCATCGTTTACAGCAGGTAAATAATCTACATTAAGTTTATCCATAAGAGCTAATACATCCTTGGGAGATGCTGATTTTTCCACAGTTTGACATGGTTTAAATGACAGCTCCATAACGTTTACGTCCCACCACCTTAAAAAAGAAAATAATATAAATTTGTAGTCTATAGGTATCTATATATTTAATTTTTGAATATGTTTAGAAGGAAGAATCAGATTTTAATTATGTTTTAAATTACAATTTTTTTTAAACGCATCTCTGGTCTCTTGTTTATAATTTCGAATAAGCTAAAAAAATCTACAGTAACTTTAATATTAATTGTTAAAATATTTTCGTTAAAAATTGCAGAATATTGCAAAAGATTTTCTACAGAGAGCGTATCCAGTCAAAAAGTCTATAAAACTTATTTAAGATAATGCCACATTCCCAGGTCTGGTCGCCATGTTTGCCTAGTTTGACCGTCCCTCTCTTCCTCTAATCCCTGCACTTCATCAAGTTCCTAATATTTCCACTTCATCTAAACTTCTACTAGGCTATTTACTGTCTTCCATCCATAGAAGATGTCCAAACCACTAAGTCCTTCCTTTCTATTCTATGCGTTAACGTGTCTGTGGTATTTAATCTATCTCTAATGGCCTCGTTGGTACTTTTGTCGTGCCTTGATATTCTGGCACTCCTTCAAAGACAGTCGATCTTTACTAAATCTAACTTTCTCTTCGCTTCAGCCTTTAAGGTCCACACTTCACTTCCGTACATCAGGATTCCACAAATACCCCGAATCTTTGTTTTCTCTATTATATCTCGGTTTCACCATACTAAACTAGTCCTTTCGAATTACGAATTACTTTCTATGTTCTATTCGGTGTCTACTTTACTCTTATCCTATCATAAGTCCTTTTTTCATAAAATTTTTTGAATTATTGATAATCACTAAATTCTTCTTCTTCTTATTCCTTAGCTTTTTCCTTTTCAGAGGTTGCTACTTCTCCTCCGCCTAAACCTAAATCTCCTTCAACTAAACCTTTCTTTCTCAAGTCCTCTGCCACATAGTCTTTCCAGCTTCTTCTCGTTTTTCCTTCAACTCTCTTTCCATCAACTTCTAACAGCTTCTATCATGCATCCCACATAGTTTTCATTTCTACTTTACTATTATTATTACCAATCAAATTGACAGCTATATATTCTTGTGTTATTCTTCCACATAACCCTTCCACAAGTATCCTGATGAACTAAATTTTGTATTTAAATTGGTTTTAAATATATAACCCACAAAAAATTATCAAAGAATAACTGGACGCTAAGTTAGACTTTTACAGGACTAACGACCACTTACTAGTGATAAAGAATCTGCTAGAGAAATCTACAGAATACAACAAACCATGAGCGCTGATATCCATCCGTTGACTACCAGAAAGCAATCGATACCATACGCCAGCAGAAAATGTTAAAATCATTGATAGAAATCAGAATAGACCATCTCTACACTAACAAAATTAAATATGTCTACCAAAATGCCATAGCTAGCGTAAGACTATCTGAACACGATACAAATAAATTCTGTGTACAGCAAGGAATACGGTACGGCAAGGAGACATCGTCTGTCCAAAATTATTCACGACGCTTTTAGAATATACTTGTACTGCTACCTTTCAATTCCTCTCAGCCTCTCGATTTTATCTTTCACCATACACTGAGGGATCTTATTAGTTTTAAATAATTCACGAACGGCATTTGTTCTACATAACATAAATTCGTTGATCTGGATCGCTATCGAGGGTATTCACAGAGCATTATTTCATGCAACCACATCTCAAACGCCTCTAGGCAATTGATCGTATCAGCCTTCAGAGTCCAGATCTCAGTATTATGTAACAACATTGATCAAATATAATATTTGATCATTCTTTGAGATAATTTTAGAATTAAGCTGTGGTTGCAGAAGAATGATATCATTTTTAGATCTGCTTCAATTCTGCATTCGAGCTCTTTACTTGGGTTAGTTGGTCTGTAATGTAGCATTCCAGATATTTATCCAGATATTTATCAATATCAAAATATCTATTGACCACAAATTAAATCATCAAGATGAATTTGTGTATCAAGTATGTACCAAGTTTCAAATCCTTCGTTTCAAGTTTCGTTCAATAAAAAAAGCATAAGAATATAAGAAGATCTCCTCCTCCTCAATCCTTTAGCCCTTGTCAGGGCGTAGTGACACCCTAAATATTATTAGTCTGCTGTCTCCATTGACTGCGATCTTGTGCCATATGGACGGCTTCATGTAGGGATTTTCCCACCAAACTCTTCATTTGGTCCACCCATCGTATTGGAGATCTTCCTCTTGGTCTTCGGCCTTCTACCTTACCTTCTACTACCAATAGTTCCATGGTGCCCGTTCTTCTAGCTATGTGGCCGAAGTAAGTTAGGTATGCTTGGTTTACTTTTTTTAGTAGCCTGTCTTTTATATGAAGCTCTTCCAGAATTGACAGGTTGGTTCTATGTTCTGTCCAGGACACGCGTAGAATTCTTCTATATACCCACATTTCGAAGGCTTCGATCTTACTCCTATCGATTTTTTTGAGAGTCCATGTTTCAGCTGCATATGTAGCAATGGGAAAAATAAGGGCATTGACCAACCTAAGCTTAGTATTCCTTGTTATTGTTCGGTCTTTCCATATTTTAATTAATTTAGCAGTTGCGGTTCGGGCCATTCCTAGTCTACGTTTGATTTCTGAGGAACAATCACCATTGTTGGTTATCAGAGAGCCCAAGTATACAAATCTGTCGACTACTTCGAAAATCCCTATTTGGCGTATATGCGGTAGATTATTATTTGCTCTGTCTACAATCATTATTTTTGTTTTTCTGGTGTTGATTTGAAGTCCGAATTCTTCACTTATTCGGCTTAGCCGTTCGATGATGGTAATCATTTCGACTTCATTCGCTGCTAGTATAAGTGTGTCATCTGCGTATCGCAGGTTACTGATTTTTCTGCCTCCTATAGTGATTCCTCCATCCCATTCATCTAGTACTTTTCTCATTATATATTCAGAATATATGTTGTACAATAATGGTGATAGTATGCAACCTTGTCTAGTTCCTTTCTCTGTTTTGAATGCATTTGAATATATTCCATGTACTTTAACTTTGGCTGAGTTTTTATTATACAGATTTCTTATTAGGTTAACTAGGTGGTTAGGTACTCCCATATTTTCCATTATACTCCAGAGAGGATCCCATTTTACTGAATCAAAAGCCTTTGTGTAATCTACAAAACAGAGCAACATTGGTATGTTATGTTCTCTCGCTTTTTCTACTATCTGTCTGGTGTTGAGTATTTGCTCACGCGTTCCCTTTCCTGGTACAAATCCACATTGTTCTTCGGCTATCTCTGGAAGTAGAAAGTTCTTTAGCCGTTCATTGATTATATGTAGCAGGATTTTGCTTGCATGAGGGATAAGGGCAACGGTTCTGTAATTGCTGCATATGGTTAGTGATCCTTTTTTATGGATAGGGATCAAGGTTGATTCACACCACTCATCAGGCCATTCACCTGTGATCCATATCATGTTGCACATATCCAGCATTACATCTACGCCAATTTCGCCTATTGCTTTTAGAGTCTCCGCTGTTATGCCATCGATTCCTGGAGTTTTTTTGTTTCTTAGTTGGTTAAGAGCCTTCTCTACTTCTGCTCGTAAAATGATTGGTTCAGCCTCTCTGGTTGCATGTTTTTTGTGTTCTGAGACTGATGCGTCATCTTTTGAAGTGTCTTTGTATAATTCTGAGCATAGTTTTTCCAGGTCTCTGCGATGCTCTCTATGTCGGTTTTTACTTCTCCATTAGAGTCTTGAATGACTTGAAGTTGTAGCTTGAACTCTCGGGCTAAATATTTAACTTTTTTAAATAGTTCATGACTTTCATGGCGGTTTGCATGTTGCTCCAGTTCTTGACACACGTTATTTATATGGTTGTTTTTATCTCTGATGCACATACATTTTATTTTCCTGTTTATCTCCGCTATTTCTTGAGTGTTGCTTCCTGTTTTTGAGATATGTTGTAGCATAGCTCTTCTTTTTTTCCACTAACTCTAGTGCTTCCCCTGACATCCAATGTTTTGTTCTTTTGGGTTTTACGCGATGTGCACTCTTTTTCCACTGAATATATCCAGCTTTTTATTCCATTCCACGTTTTATTTGTGTCTTCTAATAGATCTACTGATAAGAAGATCTACTGATCCCAAATTCTTTACACTGTGTGCCAAGTTTCAACTAAATAAACAATTATACAATAGAATCGCCAATATATACAGCCAAGGGATAACATAGTGTAATTACTAAGTGATACCCGAATGCGAACCCGCCCTAAAAGGTTAAGTTCCTATTACTTAAGAGAGTTTCTAGTAGCATGACTAATGATTTTCCAGCAAGAGACGCGAGGATTGCAGAGTTATTATAGCTGGTATATTCTTCTTACCAATGATTACGGGTATTAACAGCAGGTAATAAATTTCTTTGTTCCATCCATTGATCACAGATAAATTTAGTCAGATAATTTTTAGCACCATCTGGAAGCAGAACTACTACTTTCTTTCCCTTTCCCATCTTAAAATCTTTAATTGCTTGTAAGGCACCTGCCATTAGTACTCCACTGCTTGTTCCTAAAATAAACATACACACTATCAGTAAAGTTATTAAACGATCAAGATAACAAAATGCTGATAACTTTATCAACACGTCATTAAGCAGCTTGTTTATGGATATATTGGGTCATTGATTAAAAATATTGGCTAAGTGGTATACAGTCAACACATTATTTTAATATTCTACTGCATAATATTTATTGTGTGGTAATAATATAAAGTAACTACCTAATAAGTAATTAGTACTTAGGAATAAATTGAAAATATGTTGCTCAGGATAGAGACCGATATAAAGAGTTGGGAGAGGCCTATGTCCAAACATGGACCATAGAAGGCTAAGACGAAGAAGTCCTAATAAGTAATTCAAAAATATTTTTCGTTTTCTACTTACCAACTAATAATCCTTCTTCTCTGATTAATCTTCTACACATGTTTAGAGATACTTTGTCATGGAATTTGTACCATTTGCTTACCATCGATCTGTCACATACTGTAGGAGTATACTCATATCCTATACCTTCGATATCAAAAGCCTTCACATCGGTTTTATTGAGTTCACATGGTTGAGCATACTGTGAGCCATAAGGGTCAGCGCCTATAATTATTGTGTTCGGAGAAATTTCTTTAAATTTTCTGCTTATACCAGACATAGTTCCTCCTGTGCCACATCCCATTACCTACACAAAGTAAGAATATTAGAATTATAAATATATTATGTTTACTTTTGATGAATACTTCAAACAAAAATGGAGCTTCCACTTACAATCATATCAACTTGTCCATCACACTGGTAATATATTTCCTCGGCTGTGGTGTCATAATGTGCTAATGGATTGGACGGATTGGAAAACTAAAAATAAAACAAAATATTGGTTAGTTATATTAAAGCTAGGAAATACAAGGATCATATTTCCCAATTATTTTTGCTATGCATTTCGTTTGATTTGCTCTCCTTACTTATCTATATCAAATTAAACTTTTAAATCTGCTATACAGCTTTCATATGTCTTATTTCAGAACTTTATTTTTAATATGGTGCATTCTTTTAATCTACAGCTTCTCATAAAATCCATTTCGGTTACTCTACTTCTGTTTTTCGTTAATATGTTGGTTATTTTATCTTTGGGAGTATCCGGGATATGTTTATCATCTGCGAAAATTGGTGTAAATACAACGCTGTCTCTGACTGTTATTTCGATACTGTGAATAGGGATTACTGGTCATAACACTAAACTGTCAATAGCTCTTGCAAATACTTTACAATATTTCAAGCACAAATGCTAGCAATAGATTGTTGTGATCAAAAATGCCTGAGAAACGCCTTAATTTAACGAAACTAATCATTGCGTTAGACAGCCAAGCTGTACTTAAGACTCTGAAGTCTGGAACTAACTCGTTAAAGATTTGAACTGCGAAAATTCTCTTAATAAACTCATAAAACTTACTGTGGATGTCATGGCATAAAAGAATCGTTGATAAGAGTTTTGTTAGTCTTTCTACAGAAAGAGCTAGTCCCGTTTTTATCGGGCCAAGTAGGATAGGAAAGGATAGGAACAGTGCAGTATACCAGAAGTGTACTCTAGGTTGAAGATAGGCAAAAAGGTTATTTCGCTATACAGAAATATTTTAAATCTTCACACAACTAAACTCACAGTAATTACAGATGTTTTGACTGGACATTAATCACTCAACTATCATCAGTACTAAACTAGCTTATTTATAATTCCACCTGATCTCCTCCTTGGAATTCTGTGTCTCTATGAGTAGTTTTTTTATAGTAGTCTTCCAGCAAGTAGTAAATTTGAACGTAAACTTGCAGCAATTATGGAGGTTTTAGCGTAATCAGTTATATAGTGAGGCTGAATGTCAAAACTCCGGTGTAAATAATTTATATGTAAAAGCTCTGGAGAAAGCATATAACAAACTGATTCTCTTTCGTCAGTCCTCACCTGCCGGAGGGAGTGTGGTGGTCAGGGCCGGAGCAAAGCAATAATGAGACCGAAATAAACGAACTATTAAATCAGGAGATAGAAGAAATATTAAAGAAGCTGAAGAATAATAAGAGTCCAGGAGAAAATAGGAAATTATATAACCAAATATAGTAGCAGTGCACTAGATATAAGTAACAGTGATAGAAATTGATTTTCTAAGAAGATCTTGCACAATTTCTCGAAACGAAGAAATTATAAAACGCATAAAAATACAAAATATTTGGTATGAGCACGTTAAATGAATCATCAATGACCAATAGCCTAAAAAGATCTAAGCTTATCAAGCCATCAAATTTATTAAAAAATAGGTAAGTCCGAAAAAATTTAAGACCGTGGAATACGAGAAATGGACGAAAACGACTAGCAAGACCAACGATTGTCGATATATGTGCGAGAAACAGTTTAAAAAAAATCAACAATTAAGATTCGTTAGCTCCAATTGGTATGTGTCCAATCTAGTAATATATTAGAAATATCAAATTTTAATAAATAATACAAAGAAAGACAAAACGTGTATCCCAATCAACCAGCGAGTTATTTGACGCCAATGGTGAAGTGAGCAAGATAAAAACTCTGAATTGATAAAAACTGATAAAATTCTAAACAAATTGACTCCAATTGACTTTTTCGCTGATAACATACTTGTATACCTACACACGAAACAAACATGCTATTGCTGATACTCTAATTATTAAAAAGATAATCATTTATGTAAATTCTTTAGCGATTTTTATTTATAGTACTAATGCGAAAGTTTTGCCTTTCATGAAAAATAACTTTGCATGAATGACGAAACTTTCGCATTAGTACCATAAATAAAAATCGCTAAAAAGTTTACATAAATGGGTTAAATAAACGTTTGGTAAATTAATCCATGTATTTAAACAGGATCTATCCATCTGCCTCAAAAGAAAAATTGGTATAACAGCAATCAATTATAATCACAGATATATACATATTATTGATTATAATACAGTAGTGCCCGTTTTTTGTATAGGTACACTAAAAGGTTTTTACGCATGGTTCTCTGGGTGGCCTTTGAGTTTTGACACATGGTTACCACATCTCCGCATTTCTTGATCCAGGATCTTCGTGATATACAATAGTGCACATACACTTTTGAAATACTTGTTAACTAGTAAGTAGTATTTAGTAGCAGGAATTTTGTTTAGTTCTTTATGTATTTGTACTGATTTTATTTATGCTATCTGTTTTTCTCTCTTTTTCTCTTTAATAAATCGTTTTGTACCTTTGGATAGCTTTTTGAACCGTTAGTGTTTAAAGACATTACTACGTAAACTACGTAAGAAGAAAGAAACATGGAGGACAATTTTAACTAAGGCCAAGTTAGACGATAATCTGAGAAAAAAAATAAGAATACAAAGTAATTCACTGTAATAAAAGAATCGGAAGCACTGTAAGAACAATATGGCAAATATTCCGCGAGGAATGAAAAGTATTTATGATGATCCCCCATATGTGTCGCTTAAGCCCACCACTCACGTTCAAACGGCGCAGTACGATTTTTGTCGAATGCTATTGCAGTACAACACTGTTTGAAAATCGGATGGGAACACACACGTACCGATTTTGTGTATACGTCAGATAATGATATACTTTTAGCGGCTCTTGCTCATTGTATAAACGAAAAAAATACACGAAACATAGGTGATGGTGCAAAGATTGGTTGCTGAAAAGACATACATCTTCTTCTTCTTCATGTACCATGTCCTTTCAGTTACCATCATAGATATCTTAATTTTATTCACTGCTAAATAGCATGCTAGTATCAACACCATACAAATCTCGCAAGTTCTTCAACCATGAGATTCTTCTTCGTCCTGGACTGCGTTTTCCTGCTATTTTTCCTTGCATGATATTTTGTAGCAACTTGTCATTTGGGACCTCTCATTACATGTCCGAAATATTCCAGCTTTCTCTGCTTGATGCTTTTTATGATCTCAGTAGTTTGGCTGAGACTTTCTAGTATTGTGGAGTTTCGAATTTTCTCCACCCAGGAAACTTTTAAAATTCTTCTATAGCACCACATTTCGAAATCCTCAAGGCGATTTAGATCGATTTTATTTACAGTCCAGGACTCGACATCATAAAGTAAGACCGAGAATACGTAGCAGCGAAGTAGGCGGATCCTCAATGCCAATTTTAGATCTCTGTTACATAACACCTTGGACATCCTTCTAAAAGCAGCTCTAGCCTGCTCTATCCTAGATCCAATTTCGCCGTGACTTTCTGCGTTACAGTTTAATTGCTGTCCAAGATAAACGATTTTTATCAACTTGCTCAAGTTTGATATTATTTACATATATAGACGGTTTTATAATATGCTGTTGTTTACTTATTACAAGTATTTTGATTTTCCGTATGTTAAGATCCAGACCTACCTCTCTACAACTCTCAACGACACTATCAAGTAGTGTTTGCAGATCTTCTTGACTAGAAGCTAGTAGTACTGTATCGTCCGCATATCGCAAATTATTGATGACTTCGCCGTTCACAAGTATTCCTTCTTGTTTTTCAGAAAGTGCTTTTCTGAAAATTCTTTAGGAGTAAACGTTAAAAAACAGGGGTGACAAGAGGCATCCCTGCCGTACTCCTTTTTTCCTCACCATCTACTAAAACTGATGTTGTTTGATTCCAATATAAATTTGCAATTATTCGAACATCTCTGCCGTCCAAGCCTATGTCTTTTAGAGCTTACATACTGTCACGTATATTTATTAGAAAAATTGAGATTATATCCAAATAATTTTAAGTCTCTTTTGTAACATGTTCGAAAAATCTCATCTCTTCTAGTATCTGCTTTCACTTCTTGAAATATAGTAACCAAAATATACACATTTTTTTATAGTGGTTTTATGATGATAAACACTCGATCTTAAATATCAAAGAAATATCTAAATCGTCATTATAAGTCATTTTCGAAATTTCTGACTTGTTTGTCTGTCGTCAAATCGTGCCAATTTGGTTGAATGTGCAAATACCCGATCAAATTACGTTCAATTTTGTAGCATTCGACAAAATCAAACTGCGGTATTGGAACGTGAGTGGCGGAGTATAGGATCTCTTTTATACCCGATCCTCCTTACTACTACTACTACTACTACTACTACCACTACTACTACTACTACTACTACTCCTACTACTACTACTACTACTACTACTACTACTACTACTAAACTTGTATTATATAAAGAAGATGGTGTTTAGGCAAGATTTATTTATTTATATATAATTATTCTGTCAAATAGCAGAAAAATCATTGTTCTTCTACACTCTGTATTAAAATAATGGTACTTGAAATTAAGACAATACTAAATAATTTACAACCATTCACACCTGTTTCACCGATAATAATATTTATTCACGTATAAATTAAATATATGCATAATAATTTTTAAGCTGATAATTTTTTTTTATATTAATCAATCAAACAATCTAAAAATAAATCGGTGTCAATAGGGGGAAAAATATTACTCTTATCAGATAGTTTATAAATAAATTTAAAATAACGTTGCTCCATCACGCTTTTTAATTAATAAATTTTCTTAATAATAATATGTAACAATTTAAAATAATAATAAATACGTCAGCGATTAAGTGAAAGTCTTTAAATAATAGTAAAACTGATACAGATGTTTCTCTTAAACGTTGTTTCCCTTAAATATGTGTAATAATATATAAAATCGAAAAGGACAGAACCAATCATCTACTAAAGACGAAATAAAAAAGTAAGGTAGTGGCTCCCATTGCTGACAGTACTGTTATATTCACTTAAATGTACTGTTATATCCATTTGGCATTGGATGTATCTAGAACGACTCGGATAAATCAAAAAGTTATCAATATATTTGCCTTTTATTCAGCCAATTTAGATAATACTCTACAAGAATAAGAATAATACTCTACTGGTTCCACAGTAGAAGAATTATTTCGCGCAGCAGCCGACAGAGAAAGGTTTCAGGAAATTGTAAACATGATGACGGCCAACGTCTGAATACGGACACGGCACCCAAAGAAGAAGAAGAAGATAATACTCAAAGAATCCGGGTAAAACAAGTTTTATCCAATTTCGGGGTTTTACCCATAACATACATCTAAAACTTAAAACCTACAAAAATGTTTTACTTACTTGATCTAGTATAATGGAATTTGGTATTTGTTTATGAAGAGCATGAGCTTTTCCATACATTCCATTTTCACCTGTATATGGTACTCCCATTGGTACTCTTACGACTTCTCCACCAAACGCTTTAATGAGTAATTCCTTCTCCATTGAAAACTTGTCCGGTAATACGATGACGCATTTGTAACCTTAAGTGAAAAACATATTATTAAAATTATCATATAAGTGTAGTTATTAATGTAAAAGTAATTGTATTTTGTGTTGGTTTTGCATTTATCAAATTTCCAAAAGTTATTTGAAAAACATAAATCTTAAAACGTACTTTTCGGTAAAGATAGAAATATTGAAAAAAAATACCTTTAATCGATGATGCCCAAGCTAACGCGACGCCAGTGTTGCCAGAAGTACATTCAATAATTGTTGCACCAGGTTTTAGGATGCCACTTCTTTCGGCGTCTTCAATGCATCGAATCAACATACGGTCTTTTATTGATCCAACTGGGTTTAGAAATTCGCATTTTCCATCTATAAGATAACATAAATATATCTAATGAGTATAACATGTATAAATAGAGGCTTTTTATTACAGTTTAAGGAAAGTCCTAACTAAGTTAAAAACCAATGAAGTAACGATAGTTATGGGTGACTTTAATGCCAAAATTGGATAAGGGTAGTTATGGTGAAGTAGTAGGATCATGGGGTCTGGGTGAGCAAAATGAGAGAGGAAAACGCCTACTCACATTTGCTACGGAAGAAGAGTTGGTAATCACCAATACACTCTTCAAATCACCATATAGAAGGTTGTACACATTTCGCTCACCCGGTGTCACGCCAGCAAATCTCATAAGAAACCAATTGACTATATTTTAATAAATAAAAGATTCAAAAACTCAATAACATCAGTGAACACCTACCCTGGTGCAGATATTAAGTCAGACTATAAACCACTTGTCGCTAAGTTTCGTCTGAAATTTAAAGAAATGCACAAACCTAATCCTATAAGATACAATCTCAAATAACTAAGAGGTAATGACATAAAGCAAGAAGTACGGGAATTATGTTGTGAAGAACAACATGTCTAAGTCAGAAGTAGTTTATGATGTTGACAAAGAAATAAACTACTTAGAAAACATTGGGAAGGAAATATTAGACAAATACTGGCTACCGAAAAAGATAGAAAAGAAAAAAACATGGATGACCGACGGTATGCTACAGATGATGGACAGAAGAAGAGAATCCAAGCGGAAAGAGTACGTTGCATATCAATTTCTAGACAAATAGATAAAAAAAGCTGTCAGGGAAGCTAAAAATAAAAAATCTGCAAGAACAGTGTGAAGAAATCGACATATTGGAACGTAAACACGATTCCTTCAACCTTCCAAAAAAGATCAAAGAAGAAGCAGGCATTTATAAATCAAAAAGATCGGGACACTTAACAGACGCTCAAGGAAATCCAATAGTTGATATTGAAGAAACAAAAAACAACATGGATGAACTATGTGAGAACAACATTTGAAGACGATAGGAATGTCACCATCACACAAAATAAAAATGACGATACCGGACCACCTATTCTCGAAGCGGAAGTAGAAGCTGCTATAAAAAACATTAAAGAGGGAAAAGCCGCGAAAAGTAGTGTTACAAGCGTGGACAGCAACCAATCTTTGGGTATTAATCCTGCTGTATACACTTTGTTGTACAGATCTAAAAGTATATGCAGTGTTTCTTCGTCAATGCATTTAATTATCTCAGTGGGTATCTGATCTGGGCCTACTGATTTTGCGGTCTTTGCATTTCTAATTGCCTGTTCTAATTCGCACATTATTATTTTCGGTCCTATTTGTTCCTGTGGTTCTTCTTGTAACATTCTATCATCGTCGAATAATTTCATTATGTATTCTTGCCAAAATCTTAGTCTATCTTTGATGTCTGCAATGAGTTTACCATTATCATCTTGAATATTCCATAGTGTGCTCGCTTTTTGTTATTTGTTAGTTCTTTGATTTTTTTATGCATATTGAAGCTTTCGTATTTTCTGTCATACTCTTCTATTTCCATGCATTGGTCTGTTAACCACTTTTCTTTGGCCTGTTTTATCTCTACTTTATTTCTACTTTGTAGTTCTTGATATTTTGGCTCATTTCTTCCTTTGGCTTTTCTCCTCTATTCCATTAATGCTATAATAATGCTTAGAAGTCATTCACTACAGTTATTTATTTGTCTTTTTTTTATTTATATTTATTTTTATTTTTTAAATCGTCCAACAATTGGCAAAAACAACAAAGCATATCATAGCAGAGGAAAAAAAATTCTGCAAACTCTGGATCTCTGGAAAACAGGATATGGTGATAGATGAAACAAGAGTCAATTATAATTTAGTGATGAATTTAGTGACGATACTATCTAATCTAAAGAGACCTACATATTTATTTAAACTGGAACAAGAGGGTATTGACATTTATATTTTTTTTCTGCTTTAAGTCCTGTATAAATACCATTGTAATATTTTGCCATAAAATCTCATATATCTACCATTTACTTTCATACCGAGTATAACAATATCTCGAACTGTTGACGAGAAGTTTGCATTTCAAATATACACACTCGAAAGCTAATTAATACCATAGTAGTGCTAATCAACTCTAAAATATTTGGTTTAAATAATTATCTACACATTGTTGACTTTTTGATAGAAATATATTTTGCCTCTGAATGAAAACTCTATGCTATAAAACCATTGTTTACTTTTCTATTAACCGATAAAATATCAGTCAAGCTGATAAAACAATAAAAATGAACTTATCTAATATTATTAATATACTTACAAATTTCGCACTCTAAATTCTCCGCTTTTGGAATACCATTTAATTTTACCATAGGTGTATTTCCTACAGCTTTGGCTATATTTGGAAGTACTTTTGCTGGATAGGGTTTCCTAAAATGAATATACAAGATAACAATGAATATATGTAGGTATATATATTTTAAATAGTTCTGACAGTGAAGTTATAAAGATATAAAATTAATTTTAGTAACAATCAAATGAAGCCTACACGGCAAGAACAATGAAAGTCAATTTTTATGTTGATTTAACGAAGAAACGCTCAACGACAACGGAGAAAGACTTCTAGAACTTTGTTTAATGATTAACCTCCAAATTAACAACACCTACTTTGACCACCCAATACAACATAAGATCACCTGGTCAGATACAAGAATGATTGACTGCATTATAACAAACAGACAAATACACCCCAAGAATATAATAAATGTGCGCACTCTATCTTCAGCCAATATAGGATCCGACCATGGCCTGGTAATAGGAAAAATAAATATAGCATTCACCACACAAGGCAAGCGAAATACAAAAGTAGAAGAAAAGTTGAACATAGAAAGCTTAGAAGAAGAAAGGACACAAAACTTGTATAGAAACAGACAAACAGAAAAGCTAAATAGCCATAACCTAGAGACTAAAAATAATATAGAATAAACCTGTAAAATTATTAAAAAATGTATCCGACAAGCAGCGGAAGAAGCTTTAGGTAAAAGAAAAGTTAACAGAAATAAACGGGAATACGACGTATTCCGATGGTACGACGAAAGGGTGAAAGCACTAGCAAATGAAAAGAAACAAGCTTTCCTAACATACAAAGGAGTGAAGACTCCGGAGGCACGAGAAGACTAGGTGATAATCAGAAATAGAGTAAACCAAGAAATAGATAACATCAAAAAAGAACACTGGGAGAAATTTACCAAAGATATGGAATACGACCTCTATGGATCCCAGAAAAAGGTGTGGAAGATGATAAGGAGACAAAAAAACAGAAATTAATGAATTTGTACGCATAGATAACATTACGGAGGAACAGTGAACTAAGCATTTCACGAAATTATATGGAGAAGGAGAGGAAGAGAACGGAGAAATAATCATTAACGAAACCTACGATAGAGTACTAATATTAGAAGAGCTACAACAACGAATAATAAAATTTAAAAACCCCAAAAGCACCTGGTCCAGATAAACAATGAACTGCTAAAATATGGAGGAACAACACTACGCAAATGGCTCCTAAAATTATTCGTCGATATAATAAGTACCGGGGTAGTACCAGTGGAATGGAAAGAAAGTCTCCTGCTATCGAATTAAAGAAAATGTTATTATAATAGGTCTATGTAGGTAAATATTTAAGCCGGTCAAAAATCCCTAGATTTTACACTAAATATCAAAATAATCCCTTTGTCCCTTTTATACCCCTAGATTCGGGATAAATCGCCAGACCTGGCAGCCTTGGTTAATGGCAAAACTGTGCATGCAAACCCTAACGTGTATGTGTAATATGGAACTCGGTTATACCTGTCGGTTATGCATGCAAGGTTAAAACCATCATGCAAACCCTAACGTGTATGGCCTCCATTATTCATTTTGTATAAAAGTTAACTTTAAAGTTCAAAGACTAATTTTAAAATGTTCTAACATAAATTTTTTCAATGGGTATATATAATTTATCGGTTGAAAACAATAAAAATATTCTTAGACTGTTATGCTTTTTCAATTTTTTTTATTTTTGATAATTTGATCGAAAATACACAAAAAAAAATGACAAAAACGGTATATGTAATTAAAGCAATAACCAAAAGAATGCAAGTCGAAAATAAAATTATGTAACTACCGCTACTAAACATAGCAATAATTCTCTTTTTTATATTATTTTTCTTAGCACATTTTTTTTGCAGCCTGTTTCTTCTTTACAAGACTAACTCTGGTCCCTTGTTCCGTTATGTTGTGAGCGAGGCTATCGAAAAAATGTTTGACAGCATTGACGATCCACATTTCGAGTGAATGTCCCCCACCACCACCTCTCATGCATTACGAGCGACATTTTACGCGAAAACGGTTTTTTATTTGCATTTTTTATGGATGTTGCCATAAAGCGCATTACGTAAAACTTTTTATATAAAAAGTACTTGACAAGACGAGGGTATTTGTTTAAAAACTAGCCCTCTATCACTTATGGTTACACAGCAAATGTATGCCAACTTTGACCTTCAATATCTCGGCAACCGGTAAGCCAAATGTTTTTTTTAAAGAAGCGTCTTTTAATGTTCTTTACGTGTATAAATTTTGAAATTGATATGTTTAAAGCTCGTAAAGTTATTCAATTTGTTTATAAGCCTAAAAAATGTTAAAAAAGCTTCTAAGCTCTCCTAGTGAATCGATTTGAATTTTACAAAAATCGTTTGAAAGTTTGAGCCTTCCTTTATATGTAAAAGAGAGCCTTATTTAGGGCCTACTATAAATTTGATTTGCGATTATTTTCCAGTAGGCTGGATTGCAAATATTATGCAAAACCTATCCGACCGATCTTAACAAAATTTAGCACACGTTTTAAACATATTTAAAAAGTTTTTCTAGGCGGAATATGGAGCTTGTAAGTCAAGTTTAGAAAAGTCGAAAACATTTAAAGGATTAGCTTCATTTTTTTTGTACTTTTTTTCCAATTATTGCTATTTTTTCACAATAAACATTAAATTTTCAATTTCTAGCTAACGAAATATTGTGTAAAATTTAATAACGAAACTTTTAACTTCTTATAATTTTTTCTCTAGGATTCAATATTTTCCGAATTATAAACGAAAATAGAAGCAAAAAAATGAGAAATTTTCAATTGTTTTCAGATTTTGTTAAATAAAAAATTTAGCACAGGGTTTGCGACTGGCGCATATTGTGATTATCGATATTGGGCACATCCTGAAGGGATTCCAGCAAAAAAATAGCTATTATGGAAAATGTCCATTATGGTCTGAATTTATACAGATCCCGCCTAGTCTATTTATATTATACATCGGATTTACATCCCTCCTAATATAAAGTTCGTGCGTAAGCTAACGATATATTATATTGAAATAAATTAGATAATGGGCCTGACCAGAAGGATGTCTTGTCTCAAAAGTAATTTAGGAAATTAAGCTAAAAAAGCTTATTATACAAAGTAGATCGTTTAAATTCATATAATCCCTAATCTCAATCGCAAGAATACAAATAGATTAATTATCGAAAAAAAAATTATTAATTATGATTGTTTTTATTATTCCAACAAACAATTCGTTTTGTAAAAGTATAAAAAAAATTGATTAAATAAAATAAAATTATTTAAAAGTAGCATGCCAAAAAAATAACTACATATAGTAAAGTCTTACCAGTCCCATTTGCTGTGTGGAGATTTTTCCGTTTTATGAAGATCCTTGGTCCATGGACACTTCGGGGGTTGATCGGGAATTACAGCTTTTTCTTCTATGGGCGATTTAAAACGAAAATCTGCATCTTGCTCTTTTATTACCTTTGACATGATGAATGAACTATAAATTTACAATCAACTGCCCAAATTCACAACACGTGTACACTTGTTATTACGAATACCAAATATTCACTAATAATGTGGAAGTGTGAAACTGATGGCCTTTTATTCCTTGTGAAAAACTCCTATCATTATCACCTGATCAAATATACCAACTATTGACCAATCGCGATGATGAAGTTGCTGAAGAGTGACTTCAAAGTTCAAATCAAATGCACAGTGGGGGTAGAGTACAGAAAAAAATTGTTATTTGTTCTATGGTGGGGGTTTGGTTTGTTTGTTATGAAACTTACTTTAAGTTTAGACTGTAGTATCACCGAGAAGCTCTCGACGCTTACTGCTTTGCTTAGTAGTAGATTTATCTAAACTCGACGCGAGGTTCACGTTCAGTTTCATTCAAGGTCAAATTAGCAAGTTTTATGTTTGAATACAATATGTATAGATATTTAACAAAAGTTTCGTCAGTACCGGGCCACTAGGTGTATCCAGAAGGCTACGAAATTAAAAATATATTTTCAGCCTTCCATTTATTTAAAGTTTTTATTTTTTTATTGTATTTTCTGCTTGACAAAAAGATGTGTAAGTTATTTTACGTTTCCTGCTATAGGTATTTGTTCACCGTCGAATTTATTGAGCTTGTTTGTGCATCGTATTTGAGGCCCTCCTTGCAGCTACTCTACTCCAGGGAAATAATCAAAATTTAGCTGTCTTCAGGACTTTGCAATAGGTATTTATCGATTTATTTATTATAGGTATAAATACACATATATATATATATAAATAAATACACATATATATATAATATATATATATATATATATATATATATATATATATATATATATATATATATATATATATATATATATATATATATATATATATATATATATATATAACACTGTTTTTGATGGGTTGGAGTCAATAAAAGGGGCTATTTGTTGACTATTTTTTACTCGAGCTTTCAATTGGTGATTACAATTTTTATCAAGAGCTTCTAAAAAATACAAAATATCTTACAAAGTTGAACTAGAAATAAAAAATTTTTTGTTAACTCACCAAATAAAATTAGTTTTTTATATAAAACTACTGCTTACATATTAAATACAAAAAATATTAATAAAAAAATGTCTTATTCTAATAAATGTTTCTCTGAAAAATTTTGATGAAGTTTCTTAAGAAAAAAAATTGAATTTGTAAAAAAATACAATAGCTACAACCAGCCTAAATGTCATAAATACTAACTTAAAAAATTTTATTTTTGACATATTGTCAAAAATAAAATTTTGTTTAAAAAATTCTTCTTTGTTTAGTAACAAAAAATAAGAAGATTTATTCACCATTGATAGATGCCCGTAAAAATGTAACAAATACATGGAAAATTCAAAATGTGATATTTTAATGACTGCATATATAAATTACATAGAAATAATATAATTATAAATTTTGCTTAGATTTTGAATTTCTGACCTTTTGTTTAAATTATTATCACTTTTGCTAATACAAACCATTTCCAAAAAAGTTCTTTTAAATTTATTACTTTCACTACATAAAATTTTAATATTATCAAAATCCATAATATGGTCAATTTTAGGTAGAGCATAAAACCGTGGTGCAATAGAATTATAAATGTTGAGTTCTTTTGCTTTTTTATTATCAATAAATTTCTTACTGTTTAATTTTGATACTAGACAATTTGCTTTTTGTTGTAAAGTACAAACAGGACTCCTTCTAAGTGTAGTGTAATACTTAGTATCATTTAAGAGTTCTCCAGTTTTTTGTAGGTAATCCCTTTATACATTACAACAGTTATGTTACCTTTATCGCTTTTGACAATATAAATTTCAGGATGGTTTTTAAGAAAAAGTTTAGTTTGTAAATAGTATTTATTTAAAAAATGATCTTTGACTTCTTTATGTAAAAAGTTTGTAATGACGTTTGTACATTTAGATCTAACAACATCCTTTTGAGTGTCATTAAGTGGTCTGATTATTGATTCAATATCAGAAAGTAAATTAGGAACTCTAATATCAGATTCTGGAAGGACATAAAGAAAATTTAGGTCCTAATGCTAAAAATTTTTTTAATTTCAAAAGGAAACTGAATAGATGTTAGATTCTTAAACCATTTCTCTTGAAATTTTATCTTATCAAAAGCTTCTATTTTTAATTTATTGAACTTATTAATTTGTATTTTTTTGATTTTATGAAATTCTGTGTTGTATTTAATTCTTTGTCTACGAATATGGATTTTGATAATATTAAAATTTTATGTAGTGAAAGTAATAAATTTAAAAGAACTTTTTTGGAAATGGTTTGTATTAGCAAAAGTGATAATAATTTAAACAAAAGGTCAGAAATTCAAAATCTAAGCAAAATTTATAATTATATTATTTCTATGTAATTTATATATGCAGTCATTAAAATATCACATTTTGAATTTTCCATGTATTTGTTACATTTTTACGGGCATCTATCAATGGTGAATAAATCTTCTTCTTTTTTGTTACTAAACAAAGAAGAATTTTTTAAACAAAATTTTATTTTTGACAATAATGTCAATAAATATAAATATTTAATTTAATGTTATAAGTTAGTATTTATGACATTTAGGCTGGTTTGTAGCTATTCAATTTTTGTTTACAAATTCAATTGTTTTTGTTAAGAAACTTTTAATCAAAATTTTTTCAGAGAAACATTTATTAGAATAGGACATTTTTTTATTAATATTTTTTGTAATTAATATGTAAGCAGCAGTTTTATATAAAAAACTAATTTTATTTGGTGAGTTAACAAAAAATTTTTTATTTCTAGTTCAACTTTGTAAGATATTTTGTATTTTTTAGAAGCTCTTGATAATAATTGTAATCACAATTGAAAGCTCGAGTAAAAAATAGTCAACAAATAGCCCCTTTTGTTGACTTCAACCCATCCCATTTTATATTTTTTCCAAACGAGTCACAAGTACTTCTTTTTTCTTACTCTTATATATATATATATATATATATATATATATTATATATATATATATATATATATATATATATTTGATGAGTTGGAGTCAATAAAAGGGGCTATTGATTAACTATTTTTTATGTCAAGCTTTTAATTATGTTTACAATCCTTGTCAAAAGCTGCTAAAAAATACAAAATAACTTACAAAATGAAACTAGAAAAATAAACTTTAATAAAACCAAATAAAATTAGTTTTCTTAATAAATCTATACTGCTAAACATGTTAAAAAACTATTTTAAAAAATCAGATTATCCAATGAATGTTTCTGTAAATTTTGTAATTTTGAAAAACTTTTTTAACAAAATTAATTGAATTTATAAAATAAGTTAGATTAGCGACCAATTACAAATAAGCCTCAATGTCATGAATTCAACTTACAATTTTCATTTTTGACAATTATATTGCCAAAAAATAGAATTTTGTTTAAAACATTCGTTTTTATTTGGTAATAAAAAAGAGATTTATTTTTCATTGATAGATGTCTAAAAAATGTAACAAGTATATGGAAAATTAAATTAAAATGTGATATTTTAATGAATAAATTTTTGCTTAAATTTTGAATTTCTGATCTTTTGTTTAAATTATTATCACTTCTGCTAATACAAACCATATCTAAAAAAGTCCTTTTGAATTTATTACTTTCATTGCATAAAACTTTAATGTTATCAAAATCCATAATATGGTCTCTGTCGATTACATGCTCTGCTAAAGCACAAGATGGTTTTTTAATTCTACAGTCACTTTTGTGGGAAATAATACGGTTTGACAAATTTCTTCCGGTCTCACAAACATACACAGCTTCAAACTGAGTTCAACTAATGATGTATACTACATTTGTTTTATCTAATTTATTTATAGGATACTTAATTTTGGAATATAACGATGAAATAGTTTTGATGTTCTTTTGTCGCTATTTTTGTATTGTCAATAGCCTTTAGTGTTTGTATTACTTCAGATGTTAATGATGGTATAAAAGGTAGTGAATGATAATAGATGTTCTGATTATTTAATACAATGTTCTGAGATTTAGTAAAAAATGGTGTTAAGTTATTTATATTAAAAATATTAGAAAAAAGCATTATATGTAGCATATCTGGAGGATAAGAGTTCTCAATTAAAATATTTTTTAACAACTGAAGATCTTCTTGTAGATAATCTGGATGAGAAAGCCTTAAAATACGTTCTTTTAATCCTGTTATAATATTCATTTTCATCTTATTTGGATGATGTGAGTAATAGCTTATAAATCTGTAACTACATATGGGTTTTCTGAACCATCTAGTTTTCAACACATTGTCTGTAGTTCTTACAATTCTCATGTCAAGGAATAGTAGAGAATTATCCACCTCTTCCTCAACTGTAAACTGTATATGTTGATTATGATTGTTGAAAATCTTAGCTGTGTCATGAAATTTGTGTTTAGGAAGTGCCAAAACTAAATCATCTACATATCTTTTAATAAAAGGAATGAAAAAGTGCAAATGTTGATACAATCACTAATAACACCATCCATGACATAGCTACTTAGAATGGGTGAAAGGCTAGGTATAGGACTACCAAAAATTTGTTTGTAAAAGATACCATTAATTATAAAAATATTAGAATCAAAAACAAAGTTGATGTGTTTTGAAATGTGATAAGTCAATATTAGTATGTTGCGAAATCTCATTCCAATGTTTTTCAACACTACTTATGATTAAATCTAAAGGTTGGTAAAAAGATAATGTTACATCAAAACTAACTAAAACATAATTTAGTGGTAATTGGAAATTATTAATGAAAGAACTAAAATCAAAAGAATCTTTAATGTAAATATTGTTGTTTAAATTATAGGCATTAGTTAATAGTCAGTGGGGAGTTGTGCTATTGATCCAATAGAAGGGCATAAAGATGAAACTATTGGTCTCATATAAAAAGTTGGTTTATGTATTTTAGGTAGAGCATAAAATCGTGGAACAATAGAATTATATATTTTGAGTTCTTTTGCATTTTTATTATCAATAAATTTCTTTCTGTGTAATTTAGATACTAGACAATTTGTTTTTTGTTGTAAAGTACAAACAGGACTCCTTGCAAGTGTAGTGTAATACTTAGTATCATTTAAGAGTTCTCCAGTTTTTTGTAGGTAATCCTCTTTATACATTGCAACAGTTATGTTACCTTTATCGCTTTTGACAATGTAAATGTCAGGATGGTTTTTACGAAAAGTTTAGTTTGTACATAGTATTTATTTAAAAAATGATCTTTTATTTACTATTATTTATTTAAAAAATCCGCAAAACAATTGTT